TACTAATCATCTCTAGAACAGTGGTTCTCAAACTTCAGTGCATTATCAGAATCACCTAAAGGACCTGCTGAAACAAAGGTTGCTGGGCTCCATCATTCAGTAGGTCTGGGACGGGGATTGAGAATTTAAACTTACAGCAAGTCCTCAATGATGCTGATGCTGCTGGTTTAGAGACTGCAGTTTGAGAACTACTTAGTGCTCTAGGCAAAATTTTTGTGACCTGTTCATTGATATGTAAAACAATATGATAAAAGCTTAATAACAAATTGCTATCTTATTTTATTTTTTATTTTACAAATCGCTATTTCAGTTATTTGACAGATTGCGAATAATTTGGAAAAATGACATGGTCAGGCTCCTACGGTACCTCACAACTTGATCACATAAGCAGATGTGATGAGGTATGATCTTGGCCTGGGAAAACGAGTATTTCAGTTGGATCCCACACACTTTTCTGTTGGCAGTATTCACGGATTATGGGGGAAGTTTCTCTATAATAGCCTATAGGAACAAGTCCAACCACAGATCCCTTCTGATTTATTTACCATTTTCCATGGTGTTTGTCAAAATATTATATAATTGACCCTGGAGCAATGTGGGGGTTGGGGCATGGATCCCCTGCACAAAAATCCAGATAACTTAAAAAATTTTTTTTTTTAATGTTTATTTTTCTGAGAAAGAGAGAGAAAGAGCGTGAGCTGGGGAGGGGCAGAGAGAGAGAGGGAGACACAGAATCTGAAGCAGGCTCCAGGCTCTGAGCTGTCAGCACAGAGCCTGACACAGGGCTTGAACTCCTGAACTGCAAGATTATGACCTGAGCCAAAGTCCTCCACTTAATCGACTGAGCCACCCAGATGCCCCCAAATTCCATATAACTTCTGACTCCCTGCAAACTCTACTAATAGCCTATTGTTGACCAGTAGCCTTATTGATGACATAAATGATTAACACATATTTAGTATATATGTTATATACTATATACTGTACTCTTACAATAAAGTAATCTAGGAAAAAAAGTTAAGAAAAATCATAAAGAAGAGAAAATATATTTACAGTACTGTGCTGCATATGCTGAAAAACATCTCCATATAAATGGAGCTACACAGTTCAAACCTGTACTGTTTGAAGGTCAAGTGTATTGCATTAACTAGACTGTCCATAATTTACAATGATACCAAGTGGCAGCGACAGTATTAACAGTGCTCAAGATCCAGGTGAAAAGTATTTAACAGTGGTCAAGAAAGGGAAAGTATTATCAGGTTTTTCATAGCATGAACGAGTACAAATCACAGAAATTCAATACTAATGTAGCTGAAATATTAAAAAAAAAAAAGAGGCAAGACTATCAGAGACTGCAGAGAATAAAAGGGGTAATTATGACACATATGTATTCAAACTTTAAAAGTGGTGAAAAGCAACAGCTGAAAACGCCGGAACTGGATCAGCTGACTCAGTAGAGTAGCATATTGTTAAAGTGGTTTGTATGCAAGCATTCTAAAAGAAAGCCAATCCAGTATTTATAATAATTTAGAAAAGACAAAATAGTAAATCTTAGTAGAAAATATTATTTTCTTATAATAGCTATGGAATTCCTTATTATGATGTAGCACTCAGAATTTCAATGTTTGAGCTTCAGTAGTCTACCTAAGGCCGAAGAAAAATATAATAAACATGAAATTCTCTGATCCAAGAGTATAATGTCTTAAATTAATAACACAAATGAAGCTGGGTTTTATTGGTGCCATTTTCTTACCATCACTTAGGATGTTGGCAATGAAAAATAACTCATTGTGGTTTTAGTGAAAGATAGGACCACTATTGTTTGTATAGTTATCCTTTTTATTGTGTATTAGTAAATACACAAAGATTTCAGTTTTCAAAACTACTGTACTTCTTTCAGTTCTTTGTGATGCTCAAGGAAATCTGTAAATAACTGACTTTTAATCATTTTGTACCTGCTCTGAAAGAAAGCTTCAGAAAAACAAGAATTGCCCAAAGACAGCAATTTCTTCTGTTACATATATACATACACATATCTTCAGAATTTATCTATGAAAACATTTCTGAGACCTGCCTAACTGAATATGAATACCTTAGTTTGGCCAATCAAACTGCTTTCTGGTACAACGCAGAAAATTAACAGTAGATATATTATGATACATTCCTCTGGCCAAATGGTGAAATCTCATTCCAAGTGGTAATTTGTTTTCTGGTTTTGTTTTTTTTTAAGTTTATTTATTTTTGAGAGAGAGAGAGAGACAGAGAGAGACAGAGAGAGCAGGAGAGGGGCAGAGAGAGAATCCCAGGCAGGCTCCACACTGTCAGCACAGAGCCTGACGTGGGGCTTGAACAAACTGTCAGATCATGACCTCGGCCAAAACCAAATCAAACACCTAACCAGCTAAGCCACCCAGGCGTCCCTGGTAATTTGCTCTTAAAGATACAGTCCATATTCTATCCCAGAAAAGAATTTAGACTACCTCCTTACAAAGAAAAATGAACCTGAGAAAAACTCTGGTTATCTGATGACTATTCAGAAGGCAAATATTTCACTGGAAATATGTTGTTTTGATAATGCCTTCTTTGTTAAATGCCAATAGCAAGTTGCCAAGATAAAAAGAAATGGATAATGAGAAAGTAACCAAATAGTAGGTGGTTAACAAGTGATTTCAAGGGTCAGTAACAAGGAGAGGACCCAATCACTAACTTAACCTAAATGAATTTGGCATTAAAACACAAAATATATAACAATATTTGCCAAATATGGTACATCCTACAGTCACTGCTATTGCAGAGACATTCCATAACAGAACAATTTCTTAGAGGAAAAAAAGTAATATCAATAAAAGCCAGACATTAGAAATAACAAGACATAGGGGCGTTTGGGTAGCTCAGTCAGTTAAGCGTCCGACTTCGGCTCAGGTCATGATCTCGCTGTCCATGGGTTCAAGCCCCGTGTTGGGCTCTGTGCTGACAGCTCAGAGCCTGAAGCCTGCTTCGGATTCTGTGTCTCCCTCTCTCTCTGCCCATCCCCCATTCATACTCTGTCTCTCTCAAAAATGAATAAAAGATTAAAAAAAAAAGATATAACAAGACATGAAAGACATGTCTTTCAACTTCTCAACTTCTGTTTGAAATACACATGGATCTATGATACTCTGAATAAAGATATCAATGAAAATGTTAATACTGGCTCTAACTGATGACAATGGAGTACTCATTCAAATAACAGCATATATGATTCTACAGCTTCTTTTACGTAACTTCAGTGACTTAAGAAATAATTACCATAGTGTAAAAAATGTTATAGACAGAGAAAATTGCATTTTAACTTATAAATGGTTGTGTCCCTTTAGAATTTCTATAAAAACTGTGCTTCAACGTAGAAACTGTCCCTCACTACCAAGAGATATTGCCTACCAAGAGACAGTAAAATGAGGTAATCTATTAACGTTCATGAAAAGGAAGTAAAAATGTGAAGGATTACAGGTATGATTTGTTGTCACATGACAACAGTAGTTAGTGTGTTAGGACACACTGGAGCATATAGTTTAAGAGATTGCGGACACTATACCTTCAAATAAATAACATACATTGCAGAATATTACAAATAAGGGTAAAGTTAAAATCTCTTTTGAAAATTAAAAATAGACCTACCCTATGACCCAGCAATAGCACTGCTAGGAATTTACCCAAGGGATACAGGAGTACTGATGCATAGGGGCACTTGTACCCCAATGTTTATAGCAGCATTCTCAACAATAGCCAAATTGTGGAAAAGAGCCTAAATATCCATCAACTGATGAATGGATAAAGAAATTGTGGTTTATATACACAATGGAATACTACATGGCAATGAGAAAGAATGAAATATGGCCCTTTGTAGCAACGTGGATGGAACTGGAGAGTGTGATGCTAAGTGAAATAAGCCATACAGAGAAAGACAGATACCGTATGTTTTCACTCTTATGTGGATCCTGAGAAACTTAAGAGAAACCCATGGGGGAGGGGAAGGAAAAAAAAAAAAAGAGG